AAGGAAAAGAAAGGGCGCGGGGGGGACGAAAGCTGACCCTCCGGGGCTTTGATCCGCAGAAGCCAGAGCGCTGCCCCGGCAGGACCGAATCCAAGAGCGCCTCGCTCCCGCCTGCAGCTCAGCCCGAAGCTGCTCTTGATTTATAGTGCATATACTGTAGTATATCTACTGTAATATAGAGTGTGCGTGATGTGTATATGTGTATCTATACACACACACACACACACACATAAAATTGCTACAGGCTAAACATAAAATTTTAACTAAGTCAAATGTTGGCTGTGCATACATATTATGTATGTATATACAGTATATATGTATACCCAGCCAACACACACAATTGTGGCAGGCTAAACTGTTGAAATGATCACTAATTAAAAGTTGGCTCTTTATGCGTGTCTGTGTGTGTCTGTGTGTGCATAGATAGACACACGCACACATAGTACCCACAGTCGCTGCAGGTTAAACAGTTAAAATAATAACCAAGTCAAAACCTGGCTATACATATATGTTATATATGCATGTATATATACATGTCTTGCTACACATATATGTACACAAGTCATACGAAATCACAGGCCCTACATAGAAACTTGGCTCTTTATGTGTGTGTGTGTGTGTGTGTGTATACATGTACCCACAGTCTGTTAAAATAATAACTAAGTCCAAAATTGGCTATACATATGTTTTATATATATATAAATAGATATAGATATATGCATATACATAGACACACCCACACAGAATCACTGCATGCTAAACTCTTGAAAGGATAACCAAGTCAGAAGTCTCTCTCTACTATGTATACATACACATAGTCATTGCAAGTTCAACTGTTAAAACAGTAACTATGTCAAAAGTTGGTTGGATATACACTGCATATTCATATGAACAGTCACTGTAGCTCAAACTGTAAAAGGGATATATAAGGCAAGCATTGGTTATATATATACATATATCTCTGTGTGAGTAGAGAATAGACACCATCTGCTGGAGATACTTAATTTGGATTCTTGCTCTGTGGCCTAAAATGTTCCTTCCGTGTTTCTGTATGATTGTGTGAATTTTAAAGTATTCGTGTGTGACTTCTTCCTGAAAGCTTATTTTATTTATTACATGTTAATCTTATTCCAGGGAGATCAAAACTATGTATAGGATTCATCCATACATATATAGCTATGCCATTATGAATATACAATATGCTTAACCTGATTAGTTATAAACTTGGTGGTCCGTTTGCACGACATGTAAGGCTTGGATAGTCTTAATCTTCATTCTTTGCATGTGTGTGGCTTAGCATGTTGAGTGAACGAACCTTGGTTAGGTCAGTTTATGGTTTAATGTGCAAATCATCTAGCCCACCTTGTAAGCAATGCTCTCAAGTCCATCTGGACTTCTAGTGGATTATGTGAACATATCCATGCAATTTTATTTGCAACTGAAGTGGTTTGCATTTCCTTCTTTAGTCTACTTCAGACTATATTCCTGGAAATCATTTAGTTTCTGATCTCAGACAACATCATCCAGGTGCTGCCACCTGGTGATTTTGAAAAAGCTTAGTAAGATTTGCAGACTGAGAAAAAAAAAGTAAAATGACAAATCACTTCTGCATTGCTGCAAACAAACAATTTAGTCAGCAAGATTTGCGCATGAGGGAGCCTTTGCCTTTAGTACTTTATGAATCAGCCAAAGAATTGCTTTAGCAATTAGCTTTAAGTGTGTTGTATACACAAGCCAGTATTAACTTCACAATACCACTGTTAGGTGGGTTAGGATAGGAAATAGCAACTACCCCAAGATCACCCAATGAACAGCGTATTTCACTCCCTTTTCCTGATTGTGATAAAACCATAGTGCTACTATATATCTGAGAATATACCTCTTGGAACACATTTGGATTTGCTTTCATGAAATATGCAAGCGGACTGGAATGCATAGCTTAAATCCTGTGAATATTTACTTCACCCTACTCCCCACTACACATTGTAGCACTTCTGAGGAATTGCCTAAGATTGGAACTGGGCTGTTAAAATGCACATAATCCTCAAAATAAATCCTACGCCACAGCTGAGTTTGCCTGATAAGCAAGCACACAGTAGAGTCAGCCTGCCCTTCTGTCCAGATGTACATGGAGATAAAGCTGATTGAAAGCAAGATCTGTGTATATGATTGAGCTATGAGATGTGTTTTGGAATAGAAGATAGGATTACTCATTTTTAAATGTAATAAATGGTCTAACACCTACTGACTTTTATTACTCACAACACTGTTACCCTGGGTTGTATAAGTGTCTTCTAAACTTGTTCAGCTGAACTGTGCTGTTACCATGATGTTCTAGAATGTGGGGCAATTAAGGAAAACAAGTAATCTCCTGATGTGGAAGCAGCTTTAGTTCTTTTATGTTGAGGGGCTTGTATACAAAGGATTACTTTTTTTCTAACCAAATGCAAACCTTTCTGTATCGCACGACATAAAATTCTGAGTGGAAAATGGAAGTAGGGGTGGCTGGAAAAAAAATAACTTGCTCTTGGAATAGTCATCTCAGATTTCTGCAAGAAATAGAAATTTATTATGTGTTATCAATTAATTGTGCAGTGATTTCATTTTGAATGGCCATTGGGGTTAGTGTTCAAATACTACAGTATTGTGTGACATGCTCAGACAGAGGACTCTGCAGTTTTCCTCTGTTAAGCTTGCTTGTACCTTGAGCCAATCGCTTTCTTTCAGCCTGAAAGTTCACAAAACTGATGTGAGGTAAAATGGAGAAAACATTAAATCTGCCCTGTGGTACTTGGGAGAAGAGTGTGATATAAATATTTAGCCATTTTTGGCACTTTAACTTTGAGGATTTTTCCAGATTTGATCAAACTATCTCCTTCAATAAACAGAGGAGACAACTGTAAGTTAGTTAAAAGGGGAGAGGTTTTATACAAAAGATCAAAGGTTTTCTGGTCTAAACCCTGGCTTTTGAAACCTGACCTTTCTTCCACAGGAGACGCATTATTCTCGTGAGCTGTGGCTTTCCCTGTCTTGATATCTCTGCACCTGATACAAGTGGGAAGATGTAGCTATTGTGGCTGTTCAGAATTTAGATTCCTAGATTTGGAGGTTTCATAATCTACACTCTCTGCATAAATGACATATGGAGGAGAATCAAGGGTCATCTACAAGGCATTCCCTGCACAGAAATTGGGAACTCTGAAATTCAGACCTTTTACATTTCCTTCCTCATATCTGAATTGCTTGCGTTTGGACTTCTGCAGGCCTGACCTCTGCTGTATAAACTTCTGCCAACAAGACAGTTTGGTTTTTCCTTGATAGCAATGAGGCGTGATAGACCACAAGAACGGGCAGCTAGCTGGCCAGCAGAGCATATCAAGGTGCTCCTTGCCCTCTGGACTGAGGCAGCGGTCACTCATGATCTTAGCTCCCATGGGAGGAACCGTGCAGTCTATGATGGCATTTCTCAGCGTCTTGCAGAAATGGGCATTTATCGAACTGGAGACCAATGCCGTGAAAAAATGAAAGGCCTGAAAGTGGCTTACCGCAAGGCTAAGGAGAATAACTCTGTGGGGCGGCCGCCTATCAAATGTCCATTCTATGATGAAATTGACCAGATCATGACACAATATATAAACTGCAGGCCAGGTTTTCCCTCTGAAGCTGGTGAAGGGTCCAGTGTCACCGCCGACAGACAGGAAGGCCTCTCCATCTCAGAGACCTGGGGGGCCCAATCCAGTATCTCTGAGCGTTGGGGGTCCCAGGCCTCTGGGCACTGGCTGTCGCAAACCGCTGCCTCTGAAAGCCAAGGGACTGATGAATTCAGCTATACCCAGGCAGAGTCTCATGATGCTTTTGGTGAGATCCAAGTCATCCCAGTTCAGGTGAAGGAAGAGGAATCAGAAGATGAAATATCACCTGAGCTGGGTAACCACTTGTTCATTTTTCCTGGGGAATATGTCAGTACAACTCCTGTTGAAGGATACCTAAGGGGGGACTGATGTCCTTTATAGAATAGTTTGTTAATTTTCGAAATATTTGGGCCTTTCTTTAGCTTCAGAATTTTACTGAACTTTTGGCTTAAATATTCTACCTAAGTTACCCTAGAACCATAACTTTCTGTTTCTGGTCATGAATATGATCCCCTTTAGTGTGCCAACTCTATTTATCTCAGTTGTTTTTATTTATTTAGATACTCAGAAGAACAACCTCACAGTGTGGCCCTCAGACTTTTAGCATGCAGTCAAGTGTTATGTGCTTCACTACTCTCTGACATCAAAAAGCTGGTAGCACTCTTCCTGAAATGTTAATTTTCCATATGCATATGATTTTATTATTTTCCTGACCTTTGAATCAGCCATCAGACCTCATGAATCATTCTGGCCCTATTGATGAAGCTGCACCAATTTGAAAATACATTCGATGTATATATGCCAATTAATTTCTCTGGCTGTTCACTGTTCCTTACTTTATAGATGTGGCCTCTCCTATACTAATGGAGATCCAACCTCCACCCAGACAGCTCATCTCTATGCTTGACCAACGTCCCCATCTTCGAACTCGGAAACAAAAGGCTCAGGGGGATGGGCAGTCAAGGGGTACTGGCCAGAAATGCAGCCGTTCACATCAACCGGAGCTGCAGAGAATGCAGAAACAGGTTGCCATCCAAGCTGAGGAAAAACAGAGTTTAGCAGAGTTCATCCAGCATGACAAGGAGATGCGGCGTGAGGATAGGGAGTTCCAGGCCCAGCTCTTTGAGAAACTTTTTCAGAAGCAAACTGAGCTTGTCCAGGTGCTAACTCAGCGATCTCCTGCCAGTCCTAGTTCTGCCTGTACTAATCCCATGCAGACCTTGCAGATGTCCACAAAGAATGGAGCAGGAACAGCTGCTGGGCCTAGTTCACCACTGCAGGCTTTATTAGAACAGATAATGCAGTCTGATCTATCAGGGAAGAGTCTAGGTAGACTTGCAGTGAAGGAAGCACTTGGAGGAAGAGTTAAGGTGCCCCCTGAAGTGCAGTATTGGACTGCTGAAGAGATACTGAGGTGGCTGTTGTCTCAGCAGCCTCCTGCAGACCACTGTCAGGAGATGCTGTCAGGCCCAAGGCTCCCTTATGTTGCGGGACATGTGGGAGCAACAGGGAAAGGTGATAATTCAGAGGCACATCTCTCAGTTTTGAATCCATTATGTGATTCATATCAGAGTTCTCAACAGCAAGGTAAAGACCAGCTCCATAACAAGGCCCAACATCTGTGTGCCAGCAATTGTGCTAAAGCACTGGAAACAGACATAGACTTAGAGACACACCGGCAGTCTTTCAGGCAGTTCCGTTATCAGGAAGCCCAGGGACCCCAAGAAGCATACAGGTGTCTATGGCGGCTTTCCCACCAGTGGCTAAGGCCAGAGGTCCGTAGCAAAGAGCAAATTATGGAGCTGCTGGTTGTTGAGCAGTTCCTGAACATACTTCCTGAAGAAATCCAGACCTTGGTACGTGAATGTCAGCCAGAAAATAGCAAGGAAGCTGTAGCTCTGGCAGAGAAATTCCAGCTTCATTTTGAGTCCAAGAGGCAACGGGACCAAGTAAGATCATGTAGAGAATTATTTCTACTTTGGGGGTTTTGGCTAGCATTCGGGAAAAGGGAGGGAAGGAAAAAGGAATTTTTTCACCCATCTTTCTCCTTGACTGAGGGACTCTACATGGAATCTTGGAGTTACTGTTGTTGTTAGCAAAAGTTTGTAGTTCTTTGGTTAAAGGTGGGCTTCAAAGACAAGCGGGCAACAAGAAGCACTGCAAGGTATAGGAGGATGCAGACGGTTTCCTGAAAGCCACACTTCCAACTCGCTTGAGTCTTTCTGCTTTGGTAGAAGCTGAATGGCTGCTGAGACTTTTCTAGAGAGTAAGAATACTTGAATTTGCTTTTTTAAACAAAAAACCAAATTCTTACAAGCATAAATTGCCAGATTTTGAGCAATATTTTCATGTGACTGTACAGCAGGATTCAGTTTTGAAAGACATTTAGGATGAGGCAACAAACAGCAAGTTCAAAAGAGTTGTATTCATCCTCAGCTCGCAGATGATGGGGGAACACTCCTTTACATCTTTGGTGTGGAACTGAAGGGCCTTTTTGCTTTAGCAGAAGTGATAAACGCAAGAGTTGCATTCTTGTTTTTCCAGGTACGGGTTACCTCTGATAACATGGTTGTAGATTCCCCCCAAGAAGACTTGAACGAGGATCAGAGACAACCCTGCATAAAAGACAGTCGAGAAAATCCTAGGAAGGTTGGCTTACTAGGTAAGAATTTGCTTGTTAGGTTACATTGAAGCTTTGATGTGACAGATTTGTTCCTTTATCTTTCTAGGACCATTTGCTATGGTCTCTGTTTGTTTTAGTAAATCTCCACTTAGGGTCCTTTCCTTTCCGTTTATACTTGTATACCATCAAGCAGCCTTACCCACTCTAGTTCCCTGTCTCCTCTGTGGACAATTTCTGCCATTCCTTGGTCAATACAGCCAAATCAAAACATAACTTTTTAGTTGTTTTAATATGCTTCCTAGCATAGAGACCAGCAAATTAGCGAAATCTGTTGGAAGGAAAAGCTGGCCAAGAAGCCAGATGGGATCATCAGATGGCAAGGAACTGAAGTGTCTCCTGAAGGGGGATGGGACCTGAGAGGAAAATAGAATTAATTGCTTCTTCCTTCACAATAGAAGGTAAAGGACAGATTATACAGATACCTAGAACAGCTTTTTAAGGGAAAGCTTCTAAAGAACAGAGTCAAATAGGTATGACAAGTTATAGGACAACCTTTCCAATCTTGTCCTCTCCAGAGTTGTTCACATATGTTGAAGAAGATGCTACTGTACTATACAACTTTCTCCTTTGCTTGCTACAAGAGATTATCCCCTAGTATTGCCTTCTCAGCAAGCAACGTCGCAAACACTGAACTTAGATGTAGAGGGCTGGAGGAGATAATTTAATGTAGAACAACAGCAATGGTTTTATGAGTAATCCCCAACGGCAATCCCCCATTGCCATTTTCACTTACTCTAACTCAGCACCATATTTGTAAGGACACTTTGAATGATAATTCTCAGATAGATGGCAGGGTTGGGTGGAAATAAAAAGGCATTTAGCTGAATTCTCAACTGCTAAGGAAGATATCCTTAAATCTAAGCCACTGCTGGAGGGTTAGGTATACACAGAAAGAAGACAACAAACACAAGAACTCGAGATGATTTCTCATTCATTCAGATTACTTTAGAAGTATGTGCATAAGCTCTGTTAAGGAATTCCATATTGGGGGAACCTTCAGCAAGTCAATTTATCTTGATTTCTTAAAGATTTTTTCAATTTATCTGTAAAATAGGAATAATTATGATCCCCCTCAAAGTTTTTTTTTGAAAGGAAGACTATCAAGCATGTTTCACATTCTAAGGGCTGTGTTCATACTTGCAGCTAAAACAAAGATTTGTATCCTCCAAAAGCCTGTTAAATAAGGAAGCTTATACTCTCTAAGAAGTGAGTGGAATCCCACTACATCTATGGGCCTGGAACCCGAGTCTTATGATTCCCAGCCTAGGGCCTTAACCTCGAGCCCATCTGTTATTTTTATATCTTGGCAGGTCTCTCAAGATAAACTTATTCTCCATCTTCAGGTACGGAAACACATCTCCAGCTGAGGAAGAGACCCAGATCAGATCCGAGGGAGCAGATTGTACCCAAACAGGATGGAGAACATGGTGTGGCAGCAGCCAAGCAGATGAAGCTGGATAATAGCATAGAGGAGCAAGAAATGGCTGAAGCTGGAGAGAAAGCAAAAGAAATGCCAACCTCCGTGCCAGGAAAGCAAGCTGGGAAAGCAAAAGGGCGGGGAAGATCTGTTCCAGGCTATAATGTGGCTGGGGAGAGCCAAGCTGAGGGGGAAGCTAAGATGAAAGGCAGTGGCCGAGTTTCAGAAGCTGTGAATGGGGTGCTCTCTTCCAGTGTCCTGCGTGAGCAGAAAGTATCGGCTGGCCTAGGGTCATCTCAATTGGCTTTTGACAAGGATGCAACTGTGTCCAGCCCCCAACCTGGGCATGATGGTCGTGGGTCTCCTGACATAGACAGACCTTCACTTAGTGACAGCATTGACATTTTACTGGATTCTCCCTGGAGTGGAAATGGCAGTGGTGACACAGCCCATGATGGGCCCCCTGGTTCCAGGATGCAACCCCCCTGTGTGGGCTGTACCATGTTGAAGGCTGAGTTGGATACAGTACGTGAGGAGCTCCGATTAACCCAAGGTAACTCTGGAGGCATAAACAAGGGGAGCTTCTTCGCCATGGTGATAATAATTTCGTTTTTGTCTCTCATGTGTTACTTGCAAGAATTTGTATCATGCCTGTGTACTTGTATGATTGCCTTGCCATTGGTCCTGTTTAATATTTCTTTATTGTTGGACATAGTGCTGATCACTATGCAGAACATAAATCACATAGTTCCTGCCCAGAATAATTGCTTGGCTGTTAATTAGATCTCCTTGTCATTGAAAACAGCATCCCCCATGGCATATCCCACCTTTCACTTTGTCATAATATAACAGCACTCACCATGAGAAGTGTAGTGATGGTATGTAGGTAGGGAATTCCTTACTGGCATCCTAGCTAAGCAGCCTTGAATAAGCATTTCATTTAGAAAGGTAGGATATAAATGAACAAGAATTTTAGGTGAATACAGTTTAAATGCCTGGTTTATAAGGTGAACACCAGCAAAGAGCTTGATGAAGGGACTAAGGATGGAATTAGGAGTGGCAGGAAATACAGTTGAGATTATACTGTGATGGGCTAGAAAAGACACTGAGATATATATATTTCTAAGCAGAGGCAGGAGGAGGAAAAACAGATAAAGGGGCGAGGGCTAATTCCAAATGCAGGAAATGGCATGAAAAGAGATTCCATGGGAAACAGAGTAGATAACAAAGCAGAGCAATCCAAAATGAGATATAATATAATTGGGGATAAAGAGCCATGGATTGAAGATACTGAAGTTTGAAAAAAAATGTTCACAATACCAGGGCTGTTTTATAAAGTGAACTGGGACGGGGAGAAGTATCTCATAAGGTATTTATTAAGGAAAGATGGCAAGAAGGAAATTCTCACCAGGTCTGCTAAGTGTTTTTTGTTTTGGGGGGGTTTTTTGATAGCATTTTGTGGTAATTCTTCATTTATTTCCTTTTTGTTGTTGTTCATTTATATGCAGCTTCCACACTGTATGGGTTGAGTGGTACCTCTTTGCAGGACTTATCAGAGGCCCTTGGCACTGTTGTACGTGTTCTGAACAACACAAAATCTTTGTCAGGAACAAACACACCCCAGAACATTGCTGAAATCCCTAGTAGGCCAGTATGGCGTGAAAGAAATGTAAGTCTCCCCCTTTGCTACTTTTTGTGGGCAAGACATATTTTATTGCATATTGTCTAGCTTTTAGTTTCCTTTCTTTGAAAACAGGGATACTGCCATGAGTCTCTTACTGAGTACCGTTAAAAAGAGAGAGCACAGTAGCAAGGGTTTAGAAATGGCAAACTGCCATCCTTAAATATTTGCCTTTGCTATTTGGACTATATGGTTGAATTTACAGTTACACATTTGATGGGTAGTTATTGTACCTTCCATGAACTAATGTAATCTATCTAGGAAGGGGTTTTCCACTTTTTGATGCACACTTGTTTGATGCACATATATGTAAACCACAGTGGGCAACATCTGCTTATCTGGCATTATAATCATAACTCAGGGAACTTTTATGAATGTGCTGTCTCTTTTTTCTTAATGGAATATCTGGCCTTGGTTAGAAACCTTTAGCTGCTTTTATGTTAAATTGTTTGCCAAGTTTTCATTCTCTGAATAGAATATAAAACACTTAAAATGCTTTGATCTGATACTAATTGTGTTTTATCTTTCCTGTAGCATCTCTGAAACATTGCATGGGCTGAATATACCCCTGAATCAAGAAATTCAGCAGCAATATAAATATTAGAAGGACCTGATTTAAAAGGAGAGTGAAAAGCACCCTTTGCTCTTGATTGCCTGAGACTTATAACAACCCCTGCCCTTGATTCCTTACCCCTTTCCCATCCTGTTGAGTTGCTTAGACTACAGCAGGCTCTGAAGCAGATGCTCTTTGCCTGCTATGGTGCAAATGTTGTTATTCCTTTATCTTTTTACTGTTACCCTTGTTTTTTTTTATACAATAGTAATCTCTTTCTTCCCTTTCCTGCTTGAGTTTAAATAAAGCAACTGGGAATGAGTTACTGTACCATTTGTGGGCAATAAATAGCATGTGCATTGAACCAATTAGCATAGAAGTCTGCAGAGATGAAGCCTCCTTTAAATCCACAAGAAATCAAGGGTCCTGTATGGAAGGCAAACAATGGTTTTGAAAGGAATTGTTAGCCAGATACAGGCCTTGAAGTGTTCTAGATCCAGCCTGTTTTCATGCTGAACGTTATATTCCCTCTAATATATTCACGGATACAATCATTACAGTTCTTGACTAATTCCCAACATCAACTATAAATGCTTTGTTTTGTAAGATAAATGAACATAGTGCTGATTACCATAAGCAAAACTATTATCACCCTATGCAAAACAGGAACTTATTTTGGTTATGCTAGGAAAAAATTTAAATTTCTGTTCTAAGACATATACATATACAGTATATATAGTGAGTAAAATATATTGAGCATTGTGAAGATTTCACTGTGATTGAAGAAAGTAATTAATAGCTGTGGTTCATACTTAGGAAAACATGTGGCAAGCTGTTTATGTTAAGTTGTTATAGGAAACATAGTATATGGTTTTCTGTATTGAGAGAATGTATCAGTATGCTCAGAACAAATGTTGCTACCTTATGTCAAATTAGATCATTGGTCTTTGGCCCCAAAGAATCTCCCTCATGTGCTGCTATTGGGAGGATCAAATATGGGTTTTTCCCTGCCTTGCTATGTAACATCCCTGAGTTGAGGCAGGGGGTAGGAAGAGAAGAAGCAGGGACTGAACTTGGAATCAGCTACACCACAGTGTCCCCTCATTCAAAACTGTCCAAAAGAGCTGTGTATGGATGAATGAAAATGGATTAATCAGACTAGCTCTGAAGAGGCTTACAGCAATTAAAGCAACATCAGTTCATCTATTGAAATCACATTTCACACAGCTCCAGAGATCCACCTGAAGCATAAGCACTGTGCTTAATGCTACAAATCTTCTTTTCACCTAAAAAAATACTATCTCAATTACTCTTATCGCAGCACAAGATCCGTGGAGTATATTACTAAGGAATTAGTTTTGTGAAATGTTTTGGCCTTTGGGCAAAACTAATCCCTCTCCCTTTCAAGTCTGATCTGACAACCAATCTCCTCAATCTTCCTGGAAAGCATCACCTTAAGGCAAAAGATTACGATAAAAGGAATGTTTATTACTTCTGGAGACGGGGCAGAATGCAAAATAGGAAGGCCCTTCCGTCTTTACAGAGCATTGTCCTGCGTATTAGCGTGCACCACACACGCCATTCTTCACGACGCTTTTTTTAAGCGCTTGCCCCTTCCATTGGCCAACGGACGTCGCAATATAGCCTGACAAGTCTCCCCCTGGTTAGCCGGACCACGATTTATTCAATTCACCTGATTTACCGAGCTCGCCCGGCACAGACCCTGAAGCAAACCGAGCGATTAATGGGCTGGCTTGGGGGGTCGGCGCGCGGCAGGCTGCTTCAGTTCCAGAAGGACCGCGCCCAGAGAGACAGACTCAGCTCATGCGCTCACTTACAGTCCTTACGGGCGCTTCAAAGCTAAAACGAAAAGGGTTTTGCCTAAGAGACAAGTCCACACGCGGATGCCTACGAACGTACAGCAGTGTTTCCGAACCCTGGGAAATTGTAATTTCGTGGGCCTCTACCCCCCGCAATCACCAGATAGCTCTTTTGGCTTTCCCATACCCGGGGGGGTAT